ACCCGAGATGATCAGTAAATAGGCCTAGCAGCCTTGCATTGTAACCAATGTAAACTACCGCTCGCTCAGCGAGCCAATCACAATCCAACATTTTTAGGGTCCACCTAGACACCATGACTACGTAGACCCCAATCGGGGAGTACGTAGACACTTCCATTTAGGAAACGAAACTGTGTGTTGAAACGTAGACATTATTTCCACAGGCGCAAGAATGACGTGAGGCGTACTCAGATGATCTGGTCTAAGACCTTCACGACGCCTGGCGAGAGACTTCTTCTCAGCGCATGGGACAACAACCCGGTCAGGGGGCGGAGCTATGGCATGTACTCAGCTCACGTGGGCGGGGCTAGGACGAAAGGGACGCCCAAGGGCAAGCCACGCCTCACCCGGAGCGAGCCACCAATGAGCGGGGTACATCAGGGCGGTCTCACACCGAGCACTATCAGTCCAGGGAGGAGAGAAGGCGTTACCCCGGATGTCACAGCCACGTCAGAGTACGGCGTTCCTCATAACACGACCCCTGAACCCGACGCGAGGCTGTCTGGTGCAGTCGTGGGGCGGGGCAAAGTGGGTGGTTCTAAGACTGTCAGAGGTTTTCTTTTAGACACTTGCGGGGAAAACGACTCTCGCGTCAGCACGTACACGACCAGGTATTTCAAGAAGACGGACGAGAAAGGCGAGGAAACGATTTACACCAAAGTCTCGTGGGGACCCGAGCAGCTGCCACAGCTGAGCGCTCGCCATAAAGTAGCCTCTATGCTCAACAACTCACAGTTAAACATCGAGCCACAAGCCCCGACCACAACACCGCCCCGAGGGCTGGACACAGATGGTGAGAACCACCTCAACCGCGAAGACACAACACAAAACACCGATGCAGCAGTTCGCGAAGACACAGACAAGCAGAACGCACTGCAGGAGGCCACGCCCCGGAACACCCCCTCAGCCAATCAGGAAATAGAAGACGAAATAGCGAGTGTGGGTCCTACTTCAGGTCGTCAAGGATTGTAAAAACTACTCCAGAGCAGAAAACCTCTCTTCAAATCTGTTTCCAAATCTAGATTGGCATGAGAGGCCACAAACTTCTTTACGTCATCCCGATTGGAGACAGAAGTTAATGTGGAAAGCCATTCTTTCACATGACTTTATTTGCATTGAAAGCGGTGTCTGAAATCAAAACATTAGTGAAGACGACTGCTGTAATTTTCGCTGTCGGATCTCGGACATTCAGTTGTGATCACTCTTTATTTATACTAACTTTTTTGTTTGTCGGTTGTTGTTTTTGT